TAAGTGCAGTGATTAAAAAGGGGGGTAGAGGATGTGTGGTGATGCGGTGGGATGGTGTGGCTTAAAGAACGGATTATAGCAATATACGTAAATGAAGGGAAACGTATCAATTCTTTAAATTATGTGCTTGCTATACTATTTGGAGGATAGATTACGGGTTTGTTATGCGAGGGGGGCGGTGGCGGGCGGCACTTATCAATGGATGAATTATGGCAATTAAAAGGGAGGCTGCGTGAGGTAAGGATGAGAGGTTCCAAGCGCGTGCGGGTACAGGCGGGGGGGAAGTGTGTTATGGGCCAGATTAGACCTTCATCGTGCGTATTATTGCGTAGCAGGAAACAAAGTACAGCAGGCAATGACTATTCATGTTGGAGGTTCATGAATGATAGGAGGGTACAGGGAGGGCACAGGTAATACAAAGCTACGGAAGGATTGGGGGGTTTGCTGACAAGTGGTGTATGAGAAGTTACTGGGCAAAGTGAAGGGGAGAGGATGGGGTTTTAGCACCAGGTGTGTGGAGTGTGGTATGGTCAAGTTGCGTAACAGTGATAGGAAGAACTGGGTGGCGAAATAACTGAGGGTAAATATGGAGGATTTAGTGGAATCGCGAAAGGGGCAAAGCAACGGAGAATTGATGGACTCCCGGCTAGAGTTTTATCAGCAGCATTGGGAATTATTGAGGCTTTTCTGTTTAGGTTATTAAATTGCATGAAGGTGAGAGGTGAGCTGGGTGAGAAAGACAGCAGGCAACGGCTGTGTGTTTTGGTACCGAAGGGTAAGGGGCTGCATAAGACTTAGGGATTACCGGGCGGAGTGCTCGTTTTTATGCGCAAGATTATAAATTGTTTGCCTAAAGATTTTGGGAAATCGGGTCAACGTTGTGTGGTAGGGCGGGGAAGTATCAAAAAACTTAAGTTTGGGTTTGCCAGGGAGGTCTATGGGTGAGGAGGGGGCATGGGTTACTTAGAGGATTTCGTGGAGGCAAAAAGGGGGGGGAGGAGGGAGGTTTGGTGGCGCTCGATGGATAGGGGCATACGATGAGTGGATCGGCAAAAGCATTGAAATGCCTTCATCAGGGTCAGGGGTTTGGGGAAGCATTAGTGGGCTGGGTTGTGGCGTTGTATGGAGTGCAATGGCGAGGTACAGTCATTAATGGTCGATTGGGTGGGAAGATTGTTTAATGGGTAGGGGGATTAGGCAGGGGTGTCCTTTGTCACAATTATTGTGTTGCATGCGTACTAGGACAACTCTGTAATAGATTGATGAGAAGCGTATGTCACGTTGAGGGACCAGGGTGTGAGGTTGCGAGGGTTTGGCCAGTTTTAATTGGGTATGTGGATGATACAACTGTTATGATCAGGTGGGATGTCAATGGAACATTAGAGGGGTCGGGGTTTTGGTAGTACAAATGTTCGCAGGGGCAAACTGGTATGAGGGTAAATTCAGATAAATCCATGGTCATGGGGTGTAGGAGCTTGGGGGTTGGGTTGATTGGGGTAGTGCCAGTTGTGAGGAAGCAGGTGAATTCGTTTAAAAATCTTGTTGTTAAGTTCTTATTTATGCAGACGTTCTACTGTGGAACGCATCATGGAAAACTGCTTAGGATGTTAGAATGGTTTCAGGGTCGCTTGGGATGCATTGCGACCTTATCCATTTGACCTTGTGTCAGGATGCCTTGTTGTTAATATCTTACTGTATAGGCAAAGATGGGCACGTGGCAGCGTGTTCCCTTTAACTGGGCAGCAATAACGAACATACTTAGGTAAGTTTTAAATTCTTGTGGGGTTCGAGTGTGATTGGATTAAGAGGGAGGTGGTAATGTTTCCTGTATGTAAGGGGGGGGCTGGGATTGCTGGACTTAAAGCGGAGGGTCAAATGTGTCTTAAGATAAAAGGGAGGTGGTGAGGGGAATAGTGTGGGTGGGGGGGTTTGGCAGGATCCATAAAACAGATTGCAACGGATGTATACAGGGATTGAGTTGCATGAGTGTGAAAAACTGTTTTGAGGGCTCTGGCGTGGGATCGAGAAGCCAGCAAAGGTTAAAATAGGTAGGTTGTGGTGATTGTTAGGCCGGAGGGTTGTAGCGCCTGTAGAGGGAATTTAACCCTTGTATGCATGGGAGTATATGGAATAGGTGGAGTAGGATGAGGTTGCAACCTCGTGTTCGGGAGTATGTATCGTTTGGTCTGCACGGCATTTTTACGTCGGGTGTGGTTCTACCGGGATAGACGGGTCGTTGTCGGGGGAGAGTGTGGATATTGTGGTGGGGAGGTGTCTGCTTTTCAAGTAGAAAAAACTATATTTTAGTGATGGAATGAGGTTGTCAAGGGGTGGTTAAATAGGTGATAATAGGATTGGAGGTAATGGTATTTCTGTTTTGAGAGCATTAAGTCTCGACTGTGGGCGGTTGGGAGGAACGTGTAATCAGGAGCTGTGGGATTCAATTTTGCAGATTTTTTCATATTAGTGTGGGGTGATTGCTGGTGGGAAACAGTTACTGAGGTGATGAGGAGGGTTTTAGCGTTAACGTTCTATAATACGGTATGTGAAATAAGTAAATTTATGGAGGAGTGTGGGTGAAGGATTTTTCTTGGGGTTATAGGCAACTTACGTTACAGGTTTTAATTTAGGCTTGTAATATCGAGGGAGGGGAGGGTATGATTGGATAAGTGTTGCTGGGTTTAGGGAAGGTCAGGGGTGAAAACAGGTTGCCTACCTGTAATGGATAACAAAAAGTTTTGCGAGGAGTGATTGGATGGAGTGTATGCTTGAGTGAATAATATGGGACCACGGGTGCTTGCACCGGTGGAGCCACGGGTGCTAGCACTGTGGACCACGGAGTGCTAGCACCTGTGGAGCTGGCCAGTTTTTGTGTGACTAGGACTTTATACTTATTATTACATATTGTGTGTGGTAATATTGATTTACGGTAATGACATTGTAATTTGGAGATTTGCTATAATAATTGCATGTGTTTGCTCAAACTTGTTTTCTAGTGCCTTGCATGCATAGTGTTTGGATGCTGTGATCATGTACGGTTTGTCCAGAGATATGATTGTGATATGTTTGTATGATTGTCTGTGCATTATTGTTTCGTCACTGGTGTTCTGCAATTTTCAGTTTTGTTTGAGAGTAAAGGAGGTTAATGCACGTCAGATAGTGTAAATAAAGTTGGGCCTAAAACAGTGGTTGTTATAGGTTTTTGTGGTTAGGTGCGTGCTTAGCACCAGTCTTTATGTGTTACCTTGTGTCATGGTTATTTTTATGTTGTATTTGTACTGTTTCTGTCATTAGACATAACTATGTAATGTTCCTATAAGCTGTATAGGAGATTGAATGTATAGTTGTAGCTGTGTTATTGTTTTTACACTGGAATTGCATGTTTAAATGTGTAAAGGCTTACTTGTGTTGGATTTGAGACTAAGTTTTTCTTATGTTTGTAGTAATTTTGTATGTTCCTTTGTGACTTTCTTATATCTCCATGGTGTGTATATACATTATTGTTATGTACTGAAACCTATTAGGACAATTAAATAATTAATGTTTGGTCATTGCTGGTGTGACTTAGTTTAGGCAACATTATTGGTTTATAGTATGTTAGGTTGTAAATAGTGGGGTGGTTGGATTAACCACGGCAGGGGGGGGGGTTAATTATGTCTGTATAATATGCTTCAGCTTGCAATGCATTGCATGGTCTGTAGTCGATCATTAAGTACAATTTCGAGGGAATGTGTATATAAAAGTGTTCGTTCTTATCATTGTATTCTGTTGAGTAGCTCCAAAAGGTTTGGGTTAAGTGTTAGGATGTGGAGAGCAGGCAGAGGCGGGGGTGTCCCACACGGCTGTTGTAAGTGTGGTGTGTATCAGTAGCTGTAGGGAGGATGGTGTTAATTTTTGAGCTTAAATGAGTTTTACATATTATAATTTGTAATGTCATGTTTTTAAATAAAATATATAAAAAAAAAATAAATTAAAAAAAAAATAAAAGATTCACACACTGAGGTCGGGGTTCGAATTTCCTCAGGTACGCGGAATTATTATGGAAGTGTTTCCTTTAAGGCACATGCGGTCACTGTTCATCACCATCTGTTCAAAATGGTGTCCCTGGGGTTTTTGTGGGACTGGTGTGGGTCGCATCCTGGGTCAAAAATCTCACCTTAGTTGCAGGAAAGGTTCATGCATAACTGCGGCTTCTATATTGTAGTATGTCTTGTTGTAGCTGTGGTCTGTTTACCTTGTTCATTGTACTGGTAACAAAGGACATTATTATTATTATTATTATTAATATTACGTGTTATTATTTTTATTATCATTTATTATTATTTTATTATTATTATTATTATAAAGTAGAGAGAAATGCGAATCAAGCTAGCGTTGGGATATGAACAGACATACCTTTGTTTATGTAACAAGCCGTGACAATGGTTACTTTCTTACCTGATAAACGGTCAGTACGTGTGGAGTGGTGCAGTAATTGTCTGTAGCGGCCTCGCTTTATGTTGTCGCCGCCGAGAAACAAACCAACCAGGGGAAAGTTAACAACTTGCAATGTTCATTTGAAGAATTTTCTACTTATGACTGTTATCATCATCATCATCATCATCATATTCAATCTTCATCATCATCATTCTTCATCATCATCATCATATCATCATCATCATCAATCATCACATCTATCATCATATTTTTATTATTATTATGTTATTATTTTTATTATTATTATTATTATTATTATTATTATTATTATTATTATTTTAATTCAATCTTTACTAAATTAAATAACTGTTAACAAAATTTACACGAATCAAACAATTTTCCTCTTAAATTATTATTACAATCAAAACTAAGCATTAAACCCACAAGGGTCACAGCTCTGTTTTCCTCTGATAATAAATTATTCATTAAGCATTTTTTTTTTAAGTCTACCAGCACTTCACTCGGAACAATTTTTTTTTTCGTTTGTAATATATTTTTGCTTTTAAAGTGCCAATGGTTTACAGGTTGAGGTAACGAAAACTGTGACGGACACGAGTATTAGTTACATAACTCACCGCAGCACTGAATATATCACTTACGTGAGTACATAACTAATTTGTTGAAGATTTTTGCCCCTCGCCCCTTGTGGGTTCTTACCTGTGAGTCCTATCTATCTATCTATCTATCTATCTGTCTAATTTGCTTGTGTGTCTCATCTGGTACTAAATAGACTAAATAGCTATAACTATGACAATTTTTAAAGGGGTGGAGGGGTAAGGTAGCGGAAGGCCTCGGTCAGATGACCGAAAGCTGTAATGGTGGGTCATCATCTCAAGACCAGCGTCAGGAAACACTTGTAATGTTTCCTGACAAGCCTTACCCAACCTCTTAGGCCTCATAAATAACAAAAAGGCACCTCCACCTCTTCCTGCCTATATATAGCCGTCCTGCTCCACCTCTGGCTTCTCTCTTTTATGTGCGGGTTATTTGTGTATCTTAGACCTCATGTTTGTACTACCTTTGTCTATATCTACTGTTTTGATTATCTTAGACCATGTCTACTTTCTTGAGTGCTTAAAGCTATATCTACTGTCTTGAGTACCATTAATCTATGTCTACCGTCTTGAGTACCTAAAGTTATGTCTACTGTCTTGAGTACCTAAGATAATGTCTGCTATCTTAGTACCTTATTTAGTTATTTAATACCGGCGAATAAAAAAAAATGCTTTTGTGAAAAACAATGATTCAATTATATTCCTGTCAACAATGGATAAAAGGTTCAATGTGATTGTTTCAGTTATGATGTGGGAGTACATAGGTGAGTGTGTACTGAGTGTTTAGTATTTAGTCTAGGGTGATTAAGTGGCTTTTGAGAAGAGTCTTAAATTGATTTTCAGACTGGGTTACTTTAATATCTTCTGGTAATGAATTCCATATTTTGGGGCCCTTTACGTGCATAGAGTTTTTGCACAGTGTGATATGGACACGAGGTATATCAAAAAGAGATCTGTGTCTTGTGTTGTGGTCATGTGTCCTGTTTAGGTTGGTGAGGAGAAGTTTGAGTGGAGGGTTTATATTTGCGTGTATTGTTCTGTGTATGTAGTAGGCACATGAATAAGTATGGATGTTCTTAATGGTGAGCAGATTCAGACTTCTGAAAATTGGTGGAGTATGCTGGCTGGAGTGGGAATTTATCATCATTCTTACTGCTGCTTTTTGCTGGGTTATTAGGTGATTGGATGTTGTTGATCCCCATGCACAAATTCCATATGTAAGATAAGGGTATATGAGTGAATGGTACAGTGCCAGGAGAACTGATTGTGGAACATAGTACCTTATCTTTGATAGTATGTCTACAGTCTACTGTCTTAAGTACCTTAGACTATGTCTACTGTTTTCAGTATTGTAGACTATGTTTACTGTTTTCAGTACAATAGTCTATGTCTACTGTTTTGGGTACCTTAGTCTATGTCTGCTGTCTTGAGTACCTTAGTCTATGTCTGCTGTCTTGAGTACACCTTTATTTATATCTATTGTCTTAAGTACTAACATCATCTGTCTTTCGCTCACCATGAGGCGGGCCAAAGCAGCATGGGTTCGACTCCTTGGCTAGTCGCAAAGTTGTTATTGATCAATTCAACTCGTTCGTGGGTACAATAATTTAAAAAAACTACTCGTTTGGCTAGTACACCAAACAGGCAGTATAATGAAATTAGCTCAGAGGCATCCACAGCACCGTATGTTCTGACGGGTCCATCATTTAGCTTGGCCGGATGTGTCATTCTTGAGAATTGTGTGGTCCCATGGACTAGAGCATCATCTGTCTTTCGCTCACCATGAGGCGGGCCAAAGCAGCATGGGTTCGACTCCTTGGCAAGTAGCAGTGTTGATACCTATCAATATCACTCGTTTATATAATATATATATATAATGTTTACATATAATATATATATATATATATATATATATATATATATATATATATATATATGTATATATATATATATATATATATAATATATATATATATATATTTATATGCAAAACAACCACTGTGAAAGAATAGTGAAATTCCAAGCGTTCTCGTGACTTCTCACATTGTCAAAGAACTATAGAAACAAAACATCAAAGGAAGGCATATAAAGGGTCAAGACCACACCTCACCATCACATTCCACAACAAAGCAACACCTCACACACACATGACGACACCCGACGCTGAAACACACCTAATATTCTACCCAAGAATTAAGATTTTATTAGTTTAATGTATCATTAAATTCTTCTCAAATTGTATTAATTATAAATTAATCCAATTTATATAAACCAAAGGAAACATTCATATTATTTTCAAAACTGCTTTTTATGAAATATGATTCACTTATATTCCTGTCTTGGGTATTTCAAATCATTAGCTATTTCATAAAATTTGGATATTTCTTCATCTATGAACTCTGGATTACAAATACGTAAAATTCTCAAGAACATTGATGAGAAAACCAACAGTTTAACTTTCTCTTGACGTGAAGAATAATAATGTACATTGGAACAGTTATTTGTAGGTTTTCTGTAAATTTTAAATTTAAATTCATTATTACCCTTAATAATCAAGCATCTAGGAAAGGCAATGAGTTATTTACTTGGAACTCAACAGTAAAGTTTATAGACTAAGCGTCGTGTCACGCGTGTGTGATGTGTTGCTTTGTTGTGGGATGTGATGGTGAGGTGTAGTCTTGACTCTTTATATGCCTTCCTTTGATGTATTGTTTTTATAGTCCCTTGATAATGTGAGAAGTCATGAAAGCGTTTGGAATTTCACTATTCTTTCACAGTGGTTGTTTTGCATATTCTAACATCACCTGTTTACAGTGATCTTATTGCATATATATATATATAATATATATATATATATATATATATATATATATATATATATATATATATATATATATATATATATATATGTATATATATATATATATATATATATATATATAATAATATATATATATATATATATATATATATATATATATATATATATTTTATATATATATATATATATATATATTATTGTACCCACCTGTGGAACTGTGCTGAGGACCCTCATCCTCAGAGAAAATAAACTTCAGGGAAAACTCAAGGTTCTCCCCGTAGCTGTTAGAATATTGTCTTCTTTAAATATGTATACATTAACAGTGTTTCATTTTTCCTCACGCAGACTACTCCACTACCGTTATACAACACAGAGTTTGAGACAGAGTACAGGACTCATTACTTGACGGAAACTGAGTTCCAAGATGTACCTGTGTACACTACCATCATCCAGACACAGTATCAGACGGAGTACCAGACAGATACCTCCATTCTGGAGGTTCCTGTCTACAGCACCTTGATCTCTACCGTCTATCATACCAAATACCGCACAGAGTTCTTCACTGACACTGAAACGCAGCAGTTGCCGATATATTCGACTTACGTCTCTACGCTGACGGAAACAACGCATTTGCCAACGTACCTAACGGAGACGCACTTCGATACAGAGTACGTCACCTCAACAACGGTGGTTACGTCGACATCAATCGACTATATTACAGTAACGACACATCTCACGACGACGGCATATGAGGATGTGTATGTGACACAGACGCAGGAGGTACCTACGTACATCACTAGCACCGACTACCGCCAGGTGATCATCACTCAAACTGAGACACAACCTCACTACATCACCACCACGGAGCTGAAGGAGGTGGTAGTAACACAAACAACAACTGTACCTCTATACCTCACTACCACAGCTATCTCAGAAGTTCACTTCACCACAACGGTGCCCATTAATAATTACCTAACAACTTCTGTACCAGCTTTCGTGGTGAGCACCGTTGACAGGTACCTCACCACCACAGTGCCTTATTATGTCACCAAAAGTGCCGCAGGTCACCGTAACTTGCACTCAAACCAATATTACACCTACTTCGCATAATACTGCCATGTGCATCAATAATCTTTCGACTTCACCTCACAGGTAAATAGCCATGGATAAAAAAATTTTAAATTTCCGATAAGGTTAATTAATAGGAGTTCTAGAGTTAAGAATTTTCGTAATTTTTCATTTCACGAATTATTTGTCAGTATTACCACTTTTAACAAATTGTTAAATCCATAATATTTGTACCATTTCACAGCGCCTCATCAGAAAAGACAAAATATTGCGGAATAAGAGTTTCCTTGGGCAATATTTTGCTTTGTTTAAAGTATTATTAAGACTTGATAAAGCGTAACGCAAAAAATAATAACAATGGTTATAAATAACCATAATTTTTAAAGGGTGGACCAGTAAGCCAGCGGAAGGCCTCGGTCAGATGACCAAAGCTCCAAAGGCGGTTCATCATCTGACCAAGACCCGCGTCAGGAAACATTTGTCCTGTTTCCTGACGAACCTTACCTAACCTAACCTTACCTAACCTAACCTAACCTAACCTAACCTAACCTAACCTAACCTAACCTAATCTTACCTAACCTAACCTAACCTAACTTTACCTTACCTTACCTTACCTTACCTTACCTAACCTAACCTAACCTAACCTAACCTAACCTAACCTAACCTAACCTAATCTTACCTAACCTAACCTAACCTAACTTTACCTTACCTTACCTTACCTTACCTTACCTAACCTAACCTAACCTAACCTAACCTAACCTAACCTAACCTAACCTAACCTAACTTTACCTTACATTACCTTACCTTACCTTACCTAACCTAACCTAACCTAACCTAACCTAACCTAACCTAACTTTACCTTACATTACCTTACCTTACCTTACCTAACCTAACCTAACCTAACCTAACCTAACTTTACCTTACCTTACCTTACCTTACCTTACCTTACCTTACCTAACCTAACCTAACCTAACCTAACCTAACCTAACCTAACCTAACTTTACCTTACCTTACCTTACCTTACCTTACCTAACCTAACCTTACCTAACCTAACCTAATCTTACCTAACCTAACCTAACTTTACCTTACCTTACCTTACCTTACCTAACCTAACCTAACCTAACCTAACCTAACCTAATCTTACCTAACCTTACCTTACCTTACCTTACCTTACCTTACCTTACCTAACCTAACCTAACCTAACCTAACCTAATCTTACCTAACCTAACCTTACCTTACCTTACCTTACCTTACCTAACCTAACCTAACCTAACCTAACCTAACCTAATCTTACCTAACCTAACCTTACCTTACCTTACCTTACCTTACCTTACCTAACCTAACCTAACCTAACCTAACCTAACCTAACCTAATCTTACCTAACCTAACCTTACCTTACCTTACCTTACCTTACCTTACCTAACCTAACCTAACCTAACCTAACCTAATCTTACCTAACCTAACCTTACCTTACCTTACCTTACCTTACCTAACCTAACCTAACCTAACCTAACCTAACCTAACCTAATCTTACCTAACCTAACCTTACCTTACCTTATCTTACCTTACCTAACCTAACCTAACCTAACCTAACCTAACCTAACCTAACCTAATCTTACCTAACCTAACCTTATCTTACCTTACCTTACCTTACCTTACCTTACCTAACCTAACCTAACCTAACCTAACCTACCCATAATGCAAAGCTAAACTTTGTCCCAACATTTGTTAGTTAAAAAAAAATTTCCTTAATTTCCTTTTCCTGTTGAAAAACCTGCAGATAAAGCCAGGTAATACGTGGAAGTGATATTTAGTCTTGGTCAATTTTTCTATCATTAACAACTCTCATTTATTAAAGCTTTCTGAATTAACGTTTTATGTCTGTGGTATAAGGAAATGTTCTAATTTTTTCAAGAAAATTTATATTACCATAAAGAAAATTATCTCAGCACTTAAATTTTGGGGAGGACATTAGTATATGCCGTTGTGTATATTTAATTTTATTGGATAGACATCTATCTTAGTATCTTTAGTGATAGACATCTATCTTAGTATCTTTAGTGATAGACAACTATCTTAGTATCTTTAGTGATAGACAACTATCTTAGTATCTTCAGTGATAGACAACTATCTTAGTATCTTCAGTGATAGACAACTATCTTAGTATCTTCATTGATAGACAACTATCTTAGTATCTTCAGTGATAGACAACTATCTTAGTATCTTTATTGATAGACAACTATCTTAGTATCTTCAGTGATAGACAACTATCTTAGTATCTTCACTGATAGACAACTATCTTAGTATCTTCAGTGATAGACAACTATCTTAGTATCTTCAGTGATAAACAACTATCTTAGTATCTTCAGTGATAGACAACTATCTTAGTATCTTCATTGATAGACAACTATCTTAGTATCTTCAGTGATAAACAACTATCCTAGTATCTTCAGTGATAAACAACTATCTTAGTATCTTCAGTGATAGACAACTATCCTAGTATCTTCAGTGATAGACAACTATCTTAGTATCTTCAGTGATAAACAACTATCTTAGTATCTTCAGTGATAGACAACTATCTTAGTATCTTCAGTGATAGACAACTATCTTAGTATCTTCATTGATAGACAATTATACCGGCGAATAAAAAAAAAGATAGACAACTATCTTAGTATCTTCAGTGATAAACAACTATCTTTGTATCTTCACTGATAGACAACTATCTTAGTATCTTCAATGATAGACAACTATCTTAGTATCTTCATTGATAGACAACTATCTTAGTATCTTCAGTGATAGACAACTATCTTAGTATCTTCAGTGATAGACAACTATCTTAGTATCTTCAGTGATAAACAACTATCTTTGTATCTTCACTGATAGACAACTATCTTAGTATCTTCAATGATAGACAACTATCTTAGTATCTTCATTGATAGACAACTATCTTAGTATCTTCAGTGATAGACAACTATCTTAGTATCTTCATTGATAGACAACTATCTTAGTATCTTCAGTGATAGACAACTATCTTAGTATCTTCAGTGATAGACAACTATCTTAGTATCTTCAGTGATAAACAACTATCTTTGTATCTTCACTGATAGACAACTATCTTAGTATCTTCAATGATAGACAACTATCTTAGTATCTTCATTGATAGACAACTATCTTAGTATCTTCAATGATAGACAACTATCTTAGTATCTTCAATGATAGACAACTATCTTAGTATCTTCATTGATAGACAACTATCTTAGTATCTTCAGTGATAGACAACTATCTTAGTATCTTCCCTGATAGACAACTATCTTAGTATCTTTATTGATAGACAACTATCTTAGTATCTTCAATGATAGACAACTATCTTAGTATCTTCAATGATAGACAACTATCTTAGTATCTTCAATGATAGACAACTATCTTAGTATCTTCATTGATAGACAACTATCTTAGTATCTTCAGTGATAGACAACTATCTTAGTATCTTCCCTGATAGACAACTATCTTAGTATCTTCCCTGATAGACAACTATCTTAGTATCTTCAGTGATAGACAACTATCTTAGTATCTTCCCTGATAGACAACTATCTTAGTATCTTTATTGATAGGCAACTATTTTTGTATTTTTTCAAATCAATTTTTCTTTTTTTTTTATTTTCGCAATACTATCATTTTTGGATTATTAATATTTTTCTAATGCCTATTTTATGATGCTTATTGTTCTAATATTTTGTTTTACAATTTTCCTTTTTTGGTTGAGAAGGTAGGAGGAAAAATATTTAATATGGAATAGAAGCAGTGTTGGAGGAGTTACTATTTTTTTTTTTTTTTTAGATTCACCGGTATTCTCCCGGCCCGGGCCTTTTCCAAGTGGTGGCCCGGCCTTGGCTCCCTCTTTAGGGAGTGTCTGAGACCTAAGTCTCCCATGGGAGGAGGCACATGTACCCCCTCATCGTTCAGACCAACTGTCCCCAGGCCTAGCCACATTCCACGCCCTCACGGGGCTCCTAGGGAGAAGCTAGGCCTCTCTGGTCTGTCATCCCCGCCCCAAGGGGACTGACTGACAGTCTTGTGAGCTACAAGCTCGGGCTCAGGCACCTACCCTACCCTAGAAGAGCTGGGCATGGTGTCCATTAAGTGGCCGCTTGCTTTTCAAGTGAACCTTCATAACTTTTTTTTTAATTTGTAAAGACAACTTCTCTATAGATTCATTCCTTGTGGCTTAGCGCTTCTTTTTGATTATAATAATAATTATAATATAGATTCATTAATTGGATTCTCTCCTTTAAGTTTTATTGCACAATAATTATTAGTTTGTTTTCGTATATTAATTTGTTTGCTGTCTTATGAGCTGGACTCCATTCAGTCACATTTTTATGTATATTTTTTTCTGTTGCTGTTAATATTGTTCTCATCGAAAGTGATACATTAAATATTTATTGAACTTTGAGAATTAATAAATATAAAAATAATTTAGTGGATTTTATCCGTTAGATTAACAGATAATATAAACTCAATGGTTAACTCCTTGATCAAGAAGAGAATTATAGTCATGAGAAACAGTGCTGTTGTTGGTACATAGGACAATTATTGTTGGTATATAGGACAATTATTGTTGGTATATAGGACAATTATCATCTAACATTACAAAGAAGATTCTTATAATCTCTGTAGTTATATTAAACATTGATCTAGTCGTACGTAACTAATTTTGTTTGGATCGGCTGTGTATCAAAGACAAGTGGCACAGTGAAATATTGAATTTCACGAAGATAAGGAAGTAACGAGAATGTTTGTATCTATGACGACCCTCAAGAGGATCTCAAAGTATATTCTTCCAATCATTTATTTAAGTATCCCTTAAAAATCACTTCTTGTAGTACGTTCTTCCCTGGTCTTTTCTCTCGAAATCGCACCAAAAGAATCAGCCATATGTTATTTTTTTATTTTACCATATCAGCAAAGAAAACACATACACTTTAGCGCTCTTGTCTTGTGAGATGTGCTCACATCACAGTTCCAATGACCCTGTGAATCACAATATATATTATTCTCACATACAATATATA